TTTTGAGACAGGGCCTTGTTCTGTCTCCCAGGCTAGACTGCAGTGGCGTGATCATAGCTCACTGCAGCCTTTTAACTCCTGTGATTCTCCCACCTCAGCCTCCTGAGTAGCTAGGAGTACAGGCACACATTACTACACCTGGCTAATATTTTTTCTGTAGAGACAAGCTCTCATCATGTTGCCCAGGCTGGCCTCTAACTCCTGGCTTCAAGCATTTCTCCCTCCTCGGACTCCCAAAGTGCTGGGATTGCAGGTGCGAGCCAGTGTGCCCAGCCAAAATAACTTATATGAAAGAAGCTAAGCCAACACATGTATATATGGATGTAAATATCTAAAACAGATTCATTTATTTTATAGCCAGCTTGTGGCATGTGAGTTTTTTTTCCTGGCAGGTCAGTCTTGGTGTATATAAAGTGTTCTTCTTGTCTACACTTGTCACCTGCAGTCCGTCACTTACACAGACTCTACCGTTACATCAGTTGAATATCTTACTAGAGTTTATGCACAAGTTATTGATGCAATAATGATTTTTCAGAGTCACCTCTGTCTTTACTTGGAAAACATATTGTTGCACAAGTGGTCATTGAAAGGAAATGTTATTTGTTTTGATAATACAATTATTTGTGCCCATATGCTATTAAGTGAATTAATTACTTAGGCATACTGTATGAGTCTACTGCTCTTCTATTTTCTACTCTTATTCTCTAAGTAGGAAGCTTGAAATTTATATAAAATAGGGTAAATCAGAAAATTCATGCTGCTGACCATGAGTAAAATAAATCATAATAATTAAAATATCAAGGATTTAAATTTCATGTCTTTGAAATGATGCTGTTTTTTTCCATCCTAGTTACAATTCCTCAAAAAGGAGAAAGGCATTGTGAAACAATGCATCTGGTAGGTGACACTACAATTGAAATAAATAGAAACTTACTTTTCAGGAGCAATAAAACCAGTTACCCAAGGGGAATAGGAACGTAAACACTAACAAAGTACATTTTACTTTAGCATCAAAGAAATTTAAAATATACATACACTGGTTTCCTAGGCAAGGAGGGACCAAGGGAAGGGAAATGTGTCTTTAAAGTTCCCATCTGATAGTTATCTAAAAAAATATTTAACCTTTCTTGGCAGGTTTAGATCCAGATAAGCATCTTGGGAAAACCCTGGATCAAATGGAGCCTTATCTCTTAGAGGTAAGAATTTATGCTAGTTCTAAAAATATAGATATCTAAAGGAGAAAAAAAAATAGTATGATATAATG